TTAGCATGTTCTAAGGTCATTTCGTCATTGTTACAACTATAGACCTGTTGGAGTCGGCTGAGGACAGTTACTGTAAGCACCCTCTTGTATATTAGTGAGTCTTGGACCTCATATGTACGTCATGAGAAAAGACTGAATAGTTTCCATGCTCAGCTTACCAACCTCAGCTTACCAACCTTGTTGACTCACGGGCGTTTCAGTGAAGTTGGCTGACATTAATCAAGATGAAAATGTGGCTGACAACCACCACATTTGGGGGGTCATTGTCTAGGCTGGCATGATGACAACTTCAGAAACAACTCCCCTGCTGACAGACGTACTAAAAGAAAGGCTTGTGCATTGAACCCAAGAAAACCATTGACATTCACATACAACCATTGTGCTATAGACAGTTTTTTTCAGGATAGGCTTGTATACCAAGAAATGTTTACTAAATTAGATCTGTGCTTGTAGTGGATGTTATTTCATCTACTACTTGGACTGGTCTGTATCTCTTTATGGAGTGATTGTCTGGGTGTGAGTGCCCATAGGTATGGCTGGGTGCTGAAGGTGAAGCTGGAGATCAGTAGGCCAAGGATTGGGCAGTCCATATGTTGCTGCTGTTGTGTTGTATATGTACACACACACACACACACACACACACACACACACACACACACACACACACACACACACACACACACACACACACACACACACACACACCCATTCCCCTCAGATGCTCATTGTGCATCCCTTACACTGATCGAATGTCCTGTGAGGAGATCCTCAGAAGATTCGGGCAGGGACACGAGCTTCTAGAATTGATCCAAGCGCGACGACGGCCGTATTATTAAATGTCCCTACAGGGCGGGGTTTCCCCCAGAACCAGCTCCTCCGCACTTTTGCGGATGTTGCTTGCGAGCATTGTATCAACATTATTTTTGAATACTATTTAATATACAGTATATGGCTCTTATTTTACTGTATGGCATAGAAAATATATATAAAGACTAATGTTGCACCATCCATTTTGAGAGGCCTCTAGGAGGAGGCTTCAAAAAGGTTTTGGAAAAAGTGCATATGGAAGGATTTTGACTTCAATTCACCTGAACATTCTTGTACCGTGTCATAACATGTTCACACATGAACCCTTAAATACAGGTAATACCATATCGCTGCCAGTTGCACCATTCAAGCAATATAGAAGCCACCAAAATTGAGGCCAGGACAAACCTCAAATTCATGGTGAAACTCGGTTGGGAGAATAGGCAAATCACTGATGATCTGGAACAAGTTTATGGTCACAGTGCCCAAAAGAAATCAATCTACAAATAGATAAGTCGGTTCAGAAGTGGAAGAAACGAAATTGAAGATGAGTACCGCAGTGACAGGCCATCAATGTCTGTTTGTGAGGAAAACGTTGATTGAAAAGGATAGACGAATAACCATTGACACAGTCAACATCCCTTTGGGTTATGTACACACAATTCTGTTTGAGAGTTTGGGACTAAGCAAGCTTTCCACTCGATGGGTGCCAAAGCTGTTGCGCCCAGATCAGCAGCAAACAATGGTAGATCTTTCAATGGAAATTTTGAACAAGTTGGATGAGGACTCTGAAGCTTTTCTGCAGAGAATTGTGGCGGGATGAAACATAGCTCTACCAGTATGAACCCAAGGACAAAATTCAATCAAAGCAGTGGCTGCCCAGGGGTGGAAGTGGACCAGTCAAAGCAAAATCTGAGCGTTACACACACACACACACACACACACACACACACACACACACACACACACACACACACACACACACACACACACACACACACACACACACACACACACACACACACACACACACACACACACACACACACACACACACACACACACACACACACACACACACACACACACACACACACACACACACACACACACACACACACACACACACACACACACACACACACACACACACACACACACACACACACACACACACACACACACACACACACACACACACACACACACACACACACACACACACACACACACACACACACACACACACACACACACACACACACACACACACACACACACACACACACACACACACACACACACACACACACACACACACACACACACACACACACACACACACACACACACACACACACACACACACACACACACACACACACACACACACACACACACACACACACACACACACACACACACACACACACACACACACACACACACACACACACACACACACACACACACACACACACACACACACACACACACACACACACACACACACACACACACACACACACACACACACACACACACACACACACACACACACACACACACACACACACACACACACACACACACACACACACACACACACACACACACACACACACACACACACACACACACACACACACACACACACACACACACACACACACACACACACACACACACACACACACACACACACACACACACACACACACACACACACACACACACACACACACACACACACACACACACACACACACACACACACACACACACACACACACACACACACACACACACACACACACACACACACACACACACACACACACACACACACACACACACACACACACACACACACACACACACACACACACACACACACACACACACACACACACACACACACACACACACACACACACACACACACACACACACACACACACACACACACACACACACACACACACACACACACACACACACACACACACACACACACACACACACACACACACACACACACACACACACACACACACACACACACACACACACACACACACACACACACACACACACACACACACACACACACACACACACACACACACACACACACACACACACACACACACACACACACACACACACACACACACACACACACACACACACACACACACACACACACACACACACACACACACACACACACACACACACACACACACACACACACACACACACACACACACACACACACACACACACACACACACACACACACACACACACACACACACACACACACACACACACACACACACACACACACACACACACACACACACACACACACACACACACACACACACACACACACACACACACACACACACACACACACACACACACACACACACACACACACACACACACACACACACACA